AAAAAAAAAAAAAAAAAGGTCAAGAAAAAAAATTCCTCACGCAGTAACTTTCCCCAAAACCCACATACCACATAGTTTACCATTCCAGAGGAAATTAACATACCAATATTGAAAGGTGTACCAACACTATTACACAAGCTGAATAGACTTGGGGGTTGGGAGGAGTCTGTTGAAAGCTAGGAAAGCCAGTCCTATAAGGGGATTATCCCTTTTCCTAACACTTTGGCACTGCTGCTTCTACTTTGGTTTCCACCCAAAAGACAACATAGTATGATTTAAAAAGAGCCTGGGTTGGCCAGGGACAGTGATTCACACCTATAATCCCAGCACTTCGAGAGGCCAAGGCAGGCAGATTGGTTGAACCCAAGAGTGCGAGACCAGCCTGGGTAACACAGTGAGACCCTGTCTCTATTTTAAAGATAAAAATATGTAAAAATTTAAATTTAAAAAAATTAAAGTTTTTGAAGAGGCAGGGTCTTGCTATGTTAACCAGACAGGAGTGCAGTGGCTATTCATAGGCCTGATCTCACTAATGCTCAGAACAGGAGTTCTGACCTGCTCTGGTTCACTCCTCCTTAGGCAACCTGGTGGTCCCTCACTCCTGGGAGGTCACTATATTGATGCCAAACTTAATGCAGACACCTGATCCGTTTAGTGCACTATAGCCCAGAACTCCTGGACTCAAGCAATCCTCCCACTTCAGCCTCCCTAGTAGCTGGGACTACAGGCACACACCACCACGCCTGGACTCTAAATGCTTTTATGAGAATCAAAAAAAGCACGAGAGGTAGAATCTGATCACTGTCTAGCACAAAGTAGGCGTTCAGTTATAGATAATGCTGATTTGTTGCAGTCTTTTATGAAATCCAGGGCATTTCTGAAAAAGTAAGGACCAATGTTTAATTTGTCTACCCCAAACCTTATCTTTCCCCCTTTCATCTATGGTACGGCACCAGTAGCTCAATGACAGAGAAACAGTTTCAAGTATCTTTCAAATACCCCAAATATTTCCAGTGGTGATTCAATGGGCCCAATAAACATCTTCAAAATCTTCAGGTGTTACTTTAGTTCCTATCTGTTAGTGCTCTAGAGGTCTCTCAAACTCAACAGTTCTCATCACTAGTGGAAGCCATGATACCACTCCTCTCTAGAAAGAGGGCATCTTCTGATTGTTGTGCTACCCCATACTTGCACTCTGGGTGCTAGAGATGCTAAGCATCCTGCAAAATGCGTGAATGATCCCACCTACACGCCAATAATTCTCCAGATGAGAAACCTTGATCATGTAATGAAATAACCTCCCGTATGTTTCAAAGGTTCTTGACACATAGCCTTTATCCAAAAGTATTGGTAAACCACTGTATCTTTCAGTGTATTTAGGTCCTATACTACAGAGCTGTGCCATCCAATATGGTAACCACTAGCCACATCTGCCTATTTGAAATGCAGCTAGTTTGAATGGAGATGCACTATAAAGTGTAAAATATATCCCAGATTTTCAAGTCTTAGCACACACACACAGAAAATTTCGTTAATAACTTTTGTACTGATTTTAACGCTGAAATAGTATTTTTCATATACTAGGTTAAATAAAATATTATTAAAATTAATTTCACAGCCGGGCACGGTGGCTCACACCTGTAATCCCAGCACTTTGGGAGGCCAAGGCAGATGGCTCACTTGAGCCTGGAAGTTCCAGACCAGCCTGAGCAACATGGCAAAACCCTGCCTCTACTAAAAACATAGTCACCCAGGCTGGAGTGCAGTGGCACAATCCTGGCTCACTGCAACCTCTGCCTCCTGAGTTCAAGTGATTCTCCTACCTCAGCCTCCCCAGTAGCTGGGATTACAGCTGCCCGCCACCACACCTAGCTAATTTTTTTATTTTTAGTAGATGGGGTTTCGCCATGTTGGCCAGGCGGGTCTCAAACTCCTGACCTCAGGTGATCCGCCCGCCTCAGCCTCCCAAAGAGCTGAGATTAGAGTACAAGCCACCGCGCCTGGCCTTATAAGCACTACTGTTTATCCTTATTCCACTAAGGAGATAAAATGATTAAGGAAATTAGCCAAGGCTATCCAGTTTGTATCATAAGTGGTGGAGTTAGAATCTAGATCCAGGCAATCTGACTCCCGAGTCTGTGCTCCTAACCAATTCATTATACTGCCTTTCAAAAGCAGTATCATTAGCACATAAGCTCCACAAGCAGGGAGATTTTGTTTTGTTTACTGCTGTGTCTTCTAACTCTTAGGAAGAGTGCGGGAGGGGGAAGAAAAAGACAAAGATGCTCATAATTCCTAAGGAAATAAACCAAAGATGTCTATCTCTACAGAGTACCAAAGCCTGGGGAAAAAAAGGAACTTACTCAGAAAAGCCTTTCCACTTCAGTAGATATTCCACTTGTCCCTTAACTACACGCCTGTCTAGCACCTTCTCCACAACGTACTCCTCCTCATCCTCTGAAGAAGAACTGTCAGCTGTCCGCTTGGTTTTCTTTCCCATGTCGCACACCGTTCCACCTGAAAGACTAAGGCCACCGGGTCCCTGTAAAGGCAAAGGACAAAATAGTTAGAATCCATGTGAAGAGTTAAAAACTTTGTCTCTTCTTGATGGGACGAAAAGGGGATAACACCAAGTTGCCATGTGCCCTGCTCTTGAGTCTCAAATCATTCTACAGATGAGTCCTAAGAATTTAATTTAAAAATGAATCAGTCTTCACTTCCTCAACCACAACCTTCTCTTCGGCTAAAGAGACCAAAATTATTAGAAGGCGCAATTGTCTAACTCTTCTTTCAGATTCCAAAAGACAAGTAGTGTGGTATGTTATTCCTGGCTATGTTTATGACTATTTACAAGCCAGGAACTCAAACAGAAATGTGCAAAATCTTCAGTTAAATGAACCAAGATAAAATTAAAACCTTTTTCTCCAAAGTGAATAAGGGTCTTTATAAAAATGAAAAAAGAAAAGCCACTAAAATATGAGTTTTCTGTGCTCTGAGCATCTTGCCCAGTCTCTCACCAGCACAAAAAAAAGGCTTGCTCAGGCATCTTTCACCACATTTTCAGTGACTTGGTACATTTCCCTTAAACAAATTGAGCTTGTCCCTTCAGAGCATCCATCAGCTCACAAAAGCAAGGCTGACATCTCAAACACACTAAGCTTCCTTTTCAGAAAGCTAATTTGGGGATGGGAGGGAGGCAGAAAGGAGAAAAAAATTTTCAGTCCTAAAATTCAAAATTAGTCACTAGATTGTTGAGTAATTCCCAAGATGTAACTAATCCAAATAGTTAAGAAGGTACCTCTCCTCTTAACTGAAGTTGACTCAGGGCCAAAGGAAGAGGAGGAGGAAAAAGAAGTCTGGCCCCAGACTCAGCATCAACATGAAGCCTCCTCAAAATACAGAGGAACCATTCATAGGCCCAAGGAAAGCTGAAGCAAGGAAACACAAATGGAAATTGAGTTAAGCTCAGAAATATGCACACCAGGGGGTACTCAACAGAGAATCTAGTTTTAAAAATTCCCATGTCGCTCTTCCACAATCATTTTTAAGAATTCTTCCTTAACCATGCTAAATGGCGCCTACAGTCTGGATTACAGAGTAGCAGAAATTGTTTTCTTAGCTGAACTCCATTATTGTTTTCCTGTAATCTTTAAAGATGTTTATCAGCACCCTCTAAATATTTCCACCCTGACCAGAAAACCACTGGGTCAGGGAGGGCCCACTACTAATCTCACAATGATGTTCAAGTCACATAAAAAGTGGCAATTATCAATTCACTTCAAATTAGCAAAACTTTAAAAATTATTACAAGAATATATAGTTGGAAACCATATCCCCAGAACTTACTAGCAATAGGTCTCCCCACCGAAAACACTGCCTATACCCATTACTGCCCTATAAGACTAAGTTTTTATTAAAATACTCTATTTGGAAGAAGTAGTAGGAAAATGTAGGTGCGGGGGGGGTTAAAATAATTTTTCCATGAATTTAGAAGAGTCCTAAGCTTCAAGAAAATATCTTATGTGGTTTATTTAAAATGAAACAGCCTCCAACCTCACCAGAGACAGGAAATGTCATATTCCAGGGAGAGTACCCCACCCCCACCCCCACTCACCTTGGAATTTCCGGGAGCTGAGCAGTTTAGGTCAGAGCGCTGGGGTTAAAACCAGCCCCATGTTAGATGCATGCAGTTAAGCATTGTGGCTATGGCCTCCCCTGCCTCACCAGGAAAAACAAGGATTTACATGTGTTCTTCATTTTGAGGGAGAGAAAAGGAAAATCTCCCTTTATACCTTCATGCAGAAGAGGAGCCCCAAAGGTAGAAAATGGGGGTTCCCTCCTTTACCTACCGGATCGCCCCAGTTCTTTCTTTCCCTCTGGGCTAACAGGAGGGGCCTCCCCTCCCAGGTCTGGGTCTTGGCGGGCTGGCAGCTCCCCCGCCCCCACCCAGCTGCCTGGGCGCCACTGCGCAGCTGTCCCAGTCCGTTGCCATAGCAACTGGCAGCAGTACTACACTAAGGGGGAGAAGCAAATGGAAAAGTTAAAAGGCTTAACTTTCCTTTTCAGTGAAGACTGGGTGGAGAAGTTGGAAGGTACCTCTCTTGGCCTCAAGGCTAAGGCATTCAGAGCTCAAGGGAATTACTTCTTAGGTTTTAAATCCAGTATTTATGCTTATTCCTCTAACAGCACTGTAAATTAATCAATAGCATTTTAAGATCATCTAACAAGATTACAGCTCAACTGAAGGGGGGAGGGGAAAGGCTCGATCCTTCTACAATACGATCAGTACAAACCACCCATCACTTAATACAGCCCACCAGAGCACTTCGGGCAACCCCATTTTACCATCTGTCAAAGAACAGTTAATTAAAATTGCTTGAGGGGAAAAATAACAGGAAACAGGGGAAGGGAAGTATTTTAAGGACACTATATAACTTTCCTTCTTTGGGGTGATTACTAGAGATAAAATCCAAAGACACGAAGCACTACCAAAACAACCCCCAAAAAAAAATCTTTTAACTAAAATTACAGGTGGAGCGCCGGGCGCAGCGGCTCATGCCTGCAATCCCACAACTTTGGGAGGACGGGGCAGGGCAATCATTTGAGGTCAGGTGTTCGAGACTAGCCTGACCAACATGGTGAAACCCCGTCTCTACTAAAAATACAAAAAAATTAACCAGGCGCGGTGGCAGGCGCATATAGTCCCAGTTACTCAGGGGGCTGAGGGAGGAGAATCGCTTGAACCCGGGAGGCGGAGGTTGCAGTGAGCCAAGATCGTGCCACTGCACTCCAGCCTGGGCGACAAGAGTGAGATTGTCTCAAAAAAATAAAATAAAATTTAGGTGGAAAAAAATTCCTAAGAAGTTTAAAAAAAAAAAAAAAAAAAAGGAGAGCGGTTCTGCCACAACCTAATGGTTGATAAATTAAAACCACTTCTAGGTTGTTCTATAATGTTATGAAACAGATTTTTAAATAATTATTCATCACCTGATACATTATTAATGTACAACTCTCTGTATCAGTATGTCCCAATTCTTGAGAAAAGGAGTACTGGGATAAATAAAAAAGACATACAGAGACTTGAAATACTATAAGTTTTCCATTCTTCTGGCTCTAAAGAACATTTTTGAGAGCTTCAAAACTACTCTGCTTTATAGATATGGGAACTTTAAAGCCAGAAGTGGCTGCCATAGGAGAGTAAGAAAAAGGGACAATCAAAAGCAAAGAACTCAGTTGAGCCAAGCACGGTGGCCCACACCTGTAATCCCAGCACTTTGGGAAGCCGAAGCGGATGGATTACGGGAGGTCAGGAGTTCGAGACCAGCCTGACCAACATGGTGAAACCCCATCTCTACTAAAAACACAAAAATTGGCCAGGCATAGTCGCACATGCCTGTAATCACAGCCACTTGGGAGGCTAAGGCAGGAGAAGCGCTTGAACCTGGGAGGCAGAGGTTGCAGTGAGCCGAGATTGCACAACTGCACTCCAGCCTGGGCAACAAGAGTGAAACTCTGTCTCAAAAAAACAAATAAATAAATAAGAAAGAATGCAGTTGAGAAGAAGCATAGAATGGTGACTATTTTGGCTGTCAAACAGAAGAAACCATAGGGTGTAAGACCAAAGGAGAAATTTTTTTTTCTTTTTTTTTTTTTTTGAGACGGAGTCTCGCTCTGTCACCAGGCACTCTAGTGCTGTGGCGCAATCTCGGCTCACTGCAACCTCCAGCTCCCTGGTTCAAGGGATTCTCCTGCCTCAGCCTCCCAAGTAGCTGGGATTACAGGCATGTGCCACCACGCCCAGCTAATTTTTGTTATTTTTAGTAGAGATGGGGTTTCATCACGTTGGCCAGGATGGTCTCGATTTCCTGATCTCGTGATCCACCCGCCTCGGCCTCCCAAAGTGCTGGGATTACAGGCATGAGCCACTGCGCCCGTCCAGAAATTTTTTAATTACAAAAGATTTCCTCAAATTGGAATGGATCATCAGCAAACCTCCGATTAAAAACTGCATTTTTCGGCCGGGCGCGGTGGCTCAAGCCTGTAATCCCAGCACTTTGGGAGGCCGAGACGGGCGGATCACAAGGTCAGGAGATCGAGATCAGCCTGGCTAACACGGTGAAACCCTGTCTCTACTAAAAAAAAAAAAAACACAAAAAACTAGCCGGGCGAGGTGGCGGGCGCCTGTAGGCCTATAGTCCCAGCTACTCGGGAGGCTGAGGCAGGAGAATGGTGTAAACCCGGGAGGCGGAGCTTGCAGTGAGCTGAGATCCGGCCACTGCACTCCAGCCCAGGCGACAGAGCGAGACTCCGTCTCAAAAAAATAAAAACTGCATTTTTCAACTCTTCTTACCTTTTGTTTTAAACTTTTCATAATTAAGGGATATGAAAACAATACCAAACATTTAAACAGGATCTTGACTCTGATTAACTTGCCATGTGTGATCTTGAGTAAATAAATTTTCCATCTGACCCCGGCATCATTTAAACAGGCTAAATAAATCTGTACTACCCGCCCTACCTACCTCCTAGGGAAAAAGTGAGTTTATGTTGAAACCAAAGATCTATTAAGTCCCCCAAAGAGAACCTTCTGTAAAAATATGTCAGGGCTGAATACAACAGCAGAAGAAAATATGTGACCTTCCAAATTCCTAAGCTAGTAAACCAAATCACATGCAGTAACTCCTGCAGCTCAACACATTAGTAGATAGCAAGAAAATGAGGAACAGTGTCTTTGTTAACTAGGCACTGGAAAACGAATACACCTTCAGAGAACAGGGTAGGTATGTTCTCTCTCAAGGGCAAAATACTTATTCCTTAAAACTCAGACAAACTTTAAAGATGGCAGAATGAAAAGACTAATAGTAACTCTGTGAAGGAATAAGGAACAGGAAAGAATGACAGCAATACTAACATTTTGGTGAAATCTTTCAGAGAAAGAAAAGTGAATTTAAAGAGGAAAGAGACAAAAATATTCTGGTGTCCACCCCTCCCCACAAAACATCAGGAAGTAAAAGATTGAGTTCAATTCCCTCCTTTCCACTCTTAAGAACTGCCTAAAGGGCACATGGGCTGAGGTCCTTTTCTTTTTGGGAAATGGGTTTTGTAACCACTGACAAATCAAATTAGGCCTGATGCCAGGAGTCAGAGTCCAACCATAATATTCTTTAAAGGATGGCATGCAATTGTCTTGTAAATCTCCTGGACAGTCACAGATCAGAAGCTGGCAAGGATGACGACATACTTCTGATGGAATGTGTCGTATCTTAACCTTGAAGTTACAGATCTGCTCAGGAGCAGCAGTAAGAAATGAGAAATGCACTCAGACATCGGAGGGGACATAATTCTCTTTTAGACAGTGCGACCCAGAGTATTAGGGTCAAATGAAACACAAAGCCAGTCAAACAATTTAAGGGCTAGAGCCTGGACCAGATAGAGCATCAAGACTGGTGGTTCACACTGAGCTTAGGGGGAGGGAGCTTTCCAGCATGAGAAATGAGACATGGTTGGCAGGATGATGGAGTGATTAAGGTAGAATCCCAATACGATGACAGACGAAAAGAAGGTGAGCCTCTGAACACAACCTTATCCTTGTGGAAATCTCCAAGGGAAAGGGTGAGCAGCTTCTCAGATTTCTAGAGTCTTTCAGGAATAATTGCTCTCAGCCTTCTCTCTTAAATATAGATAGGAACTATCTGGTAAAGCTACCCAGTAACTATAGATAGATTACAGCACCTAAGGCCCATAGAGATGAGAAAAGAGGCTGGGTGCGGTGGCTCACGCCTGTAATCCCAGCACTTTGGGAGGCTGAGGCAGGCAGATCTCCTGAGGTCAGGAGTTCCAGACCAACCTGGCCAACATGGTGAAACCCTGTCTCTACTAAAAATACAAAAATTAGCCAGGCATGGTGGCAGGCGCCTGTAATCCCAGCTACTCGGGAGGCTGAGGCAGGAGAATCGCTTGAACCCAGAAGGTGGAGGTTGCAGTGAGCCAACATTGAGCCATTGCACTCCAGCCTGGGCAACAAGGGCGAAACTTCGTCTCCAAAAAAAAAAAAAAAATCAGCTCCCAGCAATTACAGAAAGGGCATCACAAGCAAGCTAGGGCAACCCAGAAAAACAAGAGGTAGGCCGGGCACAGTGGCTCCTGCCTATAATCCCAGCACTATGGGAGGCCAAGGCAGGTGGATCATGAGGTCAGGAGTTCAAGACCAGCCTGGTCAATATGGTGAAACCCCGTCTATACTAAAGACACAAAAAAAAGTGGGGCATGGTGGTGCATGCCTGTAATCCTAGCTACTCAGGAGGTTGAGGCAGGAGAATCACTTGAACCTGGGAGGCAGAGGTTGCAGTGAGCCAAGATCGTGCCACTGCACTCCAGCCTGGGCGACAAGAGTGAGATTGTCTCAAAAAAATAAAATAAAATTTAGGTGGAAA